TCATAGGGAATGACTACTCACATTGATCAATGATTCAAGTCATTTGATTGACCCCAATGACAAAGATTCTTTGTATGTGGAGTGGTAAACAAGGAAATAAAAAAGGAAAAAAGGAAGCAAGATTCCTTGTATATTTTTTCAGATAATCTGGAGATTTCATGTTTTACACATCAATTTGATTGATTTGATCGTATAACCAGTTAAGAAATCAGAACATTCAATATTTTCATGTAATTCTAAACCAACTACATTCCTTTAATTTCAGTAGTTTACTTCTAAATTTTAAAATATTCAGATTTATTAGTTGAAATTTTAATCCTTTTGATGCCTTAGAAAAAATTCCCCTCCCCAAATTTTAGACTTTTTAAATAAAAAATACATTCCTAAAATGATGCAAAAACTTTGGAATCACATACCTGAACAACGAAATACGGCTGCTTACTCCGTGTCACTTTTTGCCTAGGATTCTGGCTCCAAAAAAACAGGTTGTTTAATTTCACCTAATCCCTTAAATAAATCCGAAGTTGTAAACCTAATTCCCACTTCTGCTAATCCTTTCTTCTTGTTTGATTCAATCAACACAACACACATGCTTATTTTTTAAAAACATATAAAAAGACATGATTCACATTTCATATGCAAGTTACAACCATACTCCAGCTTATTTACTTTAAACAAGATTAATCCTTAATTTGTAAAAGTAATCTCAAAGTAAGGTTAGTCAGGGACATGGACTTTCCAATCAAAATCATGTTGGTACGGTCTAATTTTGTTAAAAGAGGGATTAGTGGGGAGCTTTAGAATCTTGTTCAAACTACGGTCAATGACGTTTGTTGGCCAGCATAGTCAAGCCAAGGATATGAGTTCAAGGCACTAAGATTAGTGAAGGAAATAAAGGTGACAAAGGAGTCTGCAGGTTTGTTTTGTTCTATATGCACTCACATTAAGGTTTTGATTTCTTCTAATGGGACTCTGTAAAACACATTCTTTAATGAAAAAAAAAAAATTGTTCCTTCTCATCAGCCATCTTCCAATCTCATTGCCTCAATGCCTACTAGTACTCATTGGATCATCTTCTCGTCTACTTCTCTATATCTGCAAAGGGCATGATGCTTTGTTCCTGCACCAAACTCTGCATGCTTCCATTATAATATCTTCTTTCACATGCAAAAAAGATATTCTCAGATGAAAATTAGTAAATTACCATCAGCAGCCACAACATGACAAAGAAAGCTAAACGGGGATCTGACTGCAATTCCTTAGCTCTCGGCTTTCAAGGCTTTCTTTATTTCCTCAATGTCTATGTCATCTTACGAGACTGGGCATCTTTTTTGAATTATTGATTAAAGTTCACCTTTTGGAAGAAAGAAATCACCAAAATGTTCTCACCTCGCAAATAGTAAATTTTTAGTCTTTACCTAAATGATTGGTTTTTATCCTAAGGGTGAACTTAATATTAATATAGCACGCAAAAGTAGATTAATGATTCTAATATTAAAAAATCAAAAAATCCTCCTTATAACAAGTTGATATAATTGATATAGAGCTCGTCTTATAATTTATTAAAGTTAAAATTTCTATTAGAAGTAATGAGATGACAATTCCTCGTAAATTTTGTAAATTCTTACCTATAATGTGAAGATGAAGGCCACTTATTCCATTGACAGCAAAACCGAACACTCTTGTCTCTTTTAATCTTTTTTTTTATAAAATGCTGGGACATGCGCACTGAGGGATTATTATATGAGCTCAAGGGCCTTTACATTTTAGCAGCCTTTGGAATTGGAGTAGAACTTTATACTCAATCATCAAGGCTATCATCACTGTCCTTTTCATTTTTTCTTGTCATGAAGGCTGCCAATGCAAAGTTGAAAGCTCTCCTCCTTTCCCACATGTATATATATACATGGTAGTTGAGGTTCTTCTCCTCCACCAATAAAGGTAGATAACACAGTGACCCCCCAAGACAAAGCAGCACCCTCTCCCTCTCTCTCTTGATAATTAACTTAGCTCTTCAAACCTTGTTCCAATCTTCCTCTCTTACATGTACACACCAATGGCTTCTATGAGAGATGAATCCATTAAAAGTGAATTCAACCCAACGGAGAGCGTTACCATGTCAGATGCTCCCACGAAGCAAAAAGTCAACAAAGGAGCTTGGACAGCAGAGGAAGATAGAAAATTGGCTGAGGTTATTGCAACCCATGGTGCCAAAAGATGGAAAGCAATTGCAGCAAAAGCAGGTAATGAACAATCCATCTCAAACTCCTCTTTTTAGGACCATCTTTTCAATAAACTAATGGGATTTTGTTCTTTTGCAGGATTGAATAGGTGTGGGAAAAGTTGCAGGCTCAGATGGATGAATTATCTAAGGCCTAACATCAAAAGAGGCAATATTTCCGACCAAGAAGAGGACTTGATACTTAGACTTCATAAACTCTTAGGAAACAGGTAACTTTAATCATTTCTGTACTTTGACAGCTAATAGAAGTACCCCCTTGTACTTTCAATAGTAATATTTTTTCTTGGCACAGATCAAAAACAAAAGATAGTGTTAATTAAAAAGGATTCATATTTTCTGATAATTAGATGGTCTTTGATTGCTGGAAGATTACCTGGTAGAACAGACAATGAGATAAAGAACTACTGGAATTCTCATTTGAGCAAGAAAATAAACCAGAAAGAGAAACAAAGTGGCGCTTCAAAAAGAGAAGGCTCTGAAGTTCAGATTCAGAATAGAAATGTAACAGAGATTAATGCCAATATAGAAGTAAGGGAAGAACAGATTACATCAAATAAATATGTTGAGGACTCGAAAATCAGCTTTGATGTCGATGAGTTCTTCGACTTTTCTAATGAAGATCCTCTCAACTTGGAGTGGATGAGCAAATTTTTTGAAGCTTGAACAACTGCAAGCTTTTTCTCTTCTCTCTATCTTCTTGAATTTGGTCCTAATATCTCTGTGTATGTGAAATAATAAATTTCAGAGAACCAGTTATCTGTTCATAATCAAGGGTTCTTGTTTTTTTCTTCCTTTTTTTCCCTCCGCTCTGGAGCATTACCCTTTGTTTGGTTTGGCAAAGTGGATTTCCTTTTCTTGTCAATCTTTTCAAAGATTAATCACTGACAATCTGCCTATTGTAAATGGTGCAGAATTGAAATTGAGAATGTGAATTTGAGGCAAATGAAAAAGCAAAAGTTAAACAATACAAAATGTAGTAGTAGTGGACAAATTGCTTTTGTTAAAAAAAAAAAAAAAAAGGAAGAAGTTAAACAATTGTAAGTTTTGGCATGTAGTTCTCAAAGGGTGTTGAGATTAAATTCCCTTTACTATTGGAAGTGGATGAAAAGGCACCCAGCAAAGCATTTTGATCATAAAAGCTAAAGAAATTCTGTCTGCAGTTCTATGGACATAAAATTTTTATGATAAAAGAGGGAGAGGCTACTTTGTATCAATTTCTTAGGAATGAGAGACAAATGAGTACTATAGATAATTGTTGAGGATTTAAATGCTGGAAGGATAATATCTTTTTACTAAAAAAAATTTAAATTTAAATTATATTACATATAATTAAATATAATTTAAATTAAGATAA